CAATTTGAACTGATTCACTTTATCCATTCACTTTAATTTCTTGACAAGGAGAATGATGTTTTCTTATATATTGAATTTCACATTAGAAACTTTATTAGTAGAATTAGTTATTTAAGAGTTATTAAAATTACATATTTATTTCAATTGCCTATTAGTGACAGATAAGCGATTTGAACTATATTGTTGTGATTAAGTATTGATTTTCTAATTCTTAGTTCGTAGCTTCTAATATTTCTCCTTGTAGGATCGATATCCAGGACTCTATTAGAGCTCTGTATTACTTGAGTGATACGTATATGATACGTATACGAGTGATACGTATACTTGCGTTGATAAGTGTGACTTTGTAATTATTGAATATTTTATACACATCTTTATCGAATCTGGAACCGCTGTCAAGTTTTTGGCGTCGTTGCTGGGGAATTAAATCTTTTAGCAGTAGTATCAAATTCTTGTATTTTTAAGCATATATAAAGTCACTGTCAGTAACTCCCCGAATGGATAGTGGTTAAATAACACATAATTCGGAGAAATATCCTCTCTTCCTAACAGACATCGTATCTTTCTCTCCATCAAAAAGTATAGAAAATTTTAGGGGATTAGAGAGAAACTCCATCAACTCATATCTAATTCTACAATCATGAATACATATGTGTTTTCCTCTTATGAATGAATATGTAAAAATCATAAATTCAAAGATCTTGGTCATTATATGCATAAAGTGTTTGGGTTATAAAGTTGAATCATAAATGAAAAGTTCTAACATGTGGTATCAGAGCCTTGATTGTTGAATTTGTGATTTTTTATTACTTTTAATTATAGTAATTGTATTAGAATTTAGTTGCAAATTAGATCTTGGAATTGGATCACTAAAGTTAATTGGTGAATTGAAATATCATTTTGAGTTTTGTTAGACTATGAATTTGTTTCTTTATAGTCGGTCTTCTTCACTAATCTATCTACTCTATAATTTATATTATTATAATTAATATTATGAAATATATATTATTGTGATTTAAATTATTATTTATTTGATGTCTATATTATGTTTAATTTGTTAGTCACCAAACTTGCAAAATTAGTATGTTTAACATATGTCAGATTAAATAAATTCAATTACTCATGAGTTTGTGATGCTTATTATGAAATAATTTTATATTTTATTTTAGGTATTTTAAAATTTATTGATTATAAAATTTTTATGAATCGCCCAAAGATTGATTATTTGTTTTATAATCTTTGAATATAATTATGGTATATTGATATACTTGTTTATGTATGTTTATATATCCAAAGATAATAGACATGTCTAATTTAAGTATAAACAATTGTTAATTATATTAAATCAAAATCAAGCATCAATTACGTTTATTATTGTGTATTGTTATATCACCCAAAGAAGATTTTCAATATATTATTAATGTTTTCATTTAATCTAATTGGATATGAACATCTGTTTATGTTTAATACTCGGATCATTAATGTATGAGTATGTTTAATTTATTTGCAGTATCTACTTTTATTTATCTTCATTTGCAAGCTACATCTGTTCAGACGTTCAACGGGCTTAATTTCTCTGAATGGTGTGAGCAAGTCTATTCACCTTGGTGTTCTGGATCTTGATTTGACACTTACGACTAGGAAGCCTCCTGCTCTTACTGATTCTAGCAGTGTTGAGCAAAAATCTTTCTATAAAGATTGGGAGAAATTGAATAGATTGAGCTTAATGTTTATGTGAATGACTGTAGCAAATAACATAAAGTGTATATTGTGTATATTTTCTAACACTGAAAATTTTCTAACACTGAAAGTGCTAAAGAATTGATAAAATTTGCTGAGGGTTGTTCTCAGCCTAACTTTGTCGATAAGTCCCTTGCTGGGACACTATTGAGTGCGTTAACTAACATGAAATTTGATGGTTCTCATAATGCATGAGCATGTCGTTGAAATGACGAACATAGCAGCAAGACTTAAGACACAGAGAATGGAAGTGAATGAAAATTTTCTTGTGTAGTTTATCATTAACTTCTTGCCTCTTGCCTCCTGAGTATGATCCAGTATGATCCATTTCACATGAACTACAACACTATGAAAGATAAGTGAAATTTGCATGAATTGCGATGTATGCTCATTCAAGAGGAAGCAAGGCTTGAGAAAGGAGGAAATCACTCTATTAATCTCATTGGTCATCAAAGAAGAGCTATAAAGGAACCTGGAAAGAAAAATGAAAAAGAGCAAACAAAGACCGCTAAAGATTAATGTGTCATTTGCCCCAATTCACAAAGAGGAACATAAAGAAATTAAGTGTCATTTTTTTTGCAGAAAGTCTGGATACTATCAAAATGAGTGTCAGAATCGCTAAGTCTGGTTCAAAAAGAAAGTTAAACATTGTGTTTTTGTATGTTTCAGATTAAATTTGGCTAAAATTCCTTATAATACTTAATGGATTGATTCTAGTCGTATTATTCATGTTTCTAATACAATGCAGGGACTCCTTACAACCCAAATTAAATGAAATTTTATCTCATGGGAAACCAAGTCAAAGCTTCTGTTGAAGTCATTAGAACCTATTGATTGATTTTAG